ATGCTGAGGGCGGCGAGCTATTTGATTACATCTCTTACAATGGAGCCTTGCCCGAGCAAGAGGCAGTGTCAATGTTCCGCCAAATCATCGCCGCTGTTGGATTTGGTCATCGCATGAATATCTGTCATCGTGATTTGAAGCCTGAGAATATTTTGCTCGACTCCGATCGTAACATTAAACTTATCGATTATGGAATGGCTGCTTTTCAACCTGCAGGTGATTGGTTTACCAAGCACTGTGGAAGCCCTTATTATGCAGCGCCGGAGCTCGTTTCCTGTCAGAAGTACCGTGGCGACAAATCAGATGTATGGAGCTGCGGAGTCATTTTATATGCGCTTCTGACGGGCTATTTGCCATTTGATGGTGGTAACCTGGGGCATACACTACTACTGATCAGGAAGGGAGATTTCGTAATTCCTTCAGACATGAGCCATGAAGCGGCTGCACTCGTCAGTGAAATGCTTCAAAAGCTCCCAGAGGATCGGATTTCTATACCAGACATCATGTCGCATCCTTTGCTTATCAAGTACAAAGGCCCTCAAAGCATGATGACCGATCATCATATTGACAATCTTCCTGACTTTTCTTTGGAGGACTACGGGAAAGCAGTCTCATCTTGTCATGAAATTGACATTGACATATTGAATGAGACTCTAAATCTCTGTGAGCATCTGGAAGAAGAAGCATTAATCGAGAGATTGATGTGTATTGAGTAAGGCTATCTATGCTTTTTGTATTGGAGTTCGAAGACCATACTGACTTCAGCTCATAGACCAACCCTGGAAAGAATGTTCTACAATACCCTCTTAAAGCTTCGTAACGAACAGACAGGAATATACCACCAATACCTAGCATGATTTAATCTAGCTGGTTCTCTCGGGCATCACAGTCTTGGATATAAAGACAAACAGAATAAATATACGTTGTTCGGTGAGACTAATATCATAGAAAATGAATTTGATCAGGGGGATAAGAGGAAAGGCGGACGTAGCGATCTTCGTGAGGAGAGAGTTCTGTTGTCATATGTGTAATCGTCGGGTGCGAAAATGGAGGGAAATTCTCCAAAGCCCACTGAGGGTCGTTCGAACAGATGACGAGGCAAAATTGGGGTTTCCTTCATTATTGGTCTTTTGCTCGTGCATGGATGATTTGAGTGGCTTGAATGAAATCTGGAAGATCAGGGTCTGTAAAGAGCAGTGAGGTAAAACCCAGGAAGTCTAGACCAAGATAGGATGCTACCAGAGTTCCAATATCGCTTAAACTGGGCTATTCATTTCTTACCTTCACGTTACTCTTTCTTCACTTCACCAATCTTCCCCAAGATACTTCTATTCTGACTCTCTTTCACTTTCACATCTTATTCACACCACAGGTCTCTCATTGCTGTGATCTTTGCCTTCTGCTCATCTCATCACTTACACTCATCTCATCTCGTACTCTTTGTCTCTTACAAATTTCATCTCTTACATGCTTCATCTGCAAGCTTCATCTCTTGCATTCTTACTCTGCAGGCTTCTACTGCTACAATATTCATTTGCAAGCTTTTGACGAGAGCAACAAGGAGAGGAGCAGGTAAATCACTTCCTGTTGTTTGGCTATCTGACACGCAGGAGGGAAAAGAAAGAAGATTGAGAGGCAAAGAATTGGATCTATTGAGCAAGCAGGCTGTCACCTGACCCCGACCATTCAACAGCAGTGTCTCTTGCCTTCATCGTCTGCCGCCTTCTTCTCTTACGCTCTTTCTCCTCTCTACGATCTCATCATTAACTTGGCTCCAGGCCCGAGAAAAGACACACAGAACAATCGATCGAGGAATGGGAGAGAGGTTAGTTATAAAAAGCAAACTCCGAAAAGCAAACACTGAGCACAGGGTGTTTTAACTATGGAAAACCATCCAATTTCTCAGAAAAAATGTTACTGTCTTCCATGTCTACACTCATCTGAGTCTGACTGGAAGATGTCCTGCTCCGCCGTGTCCTCGGTCTCTCTGTCCACTGTTTCCGAAGAGCCAGCAGTCGAACTAACTCACACGCAAGTGCTTACTTGACTGGGCTTTGATGAGTGTCAGACGTGAGAGCTTCCTGGCTGATCTTGCCAAAAGCAACAAGGTGAGTTTCTCCTCACGTTGTTTTACTGCCGATATTCTAACGCTGAGCCGAGAAGTGTGAAGAGGATTATCCCGGTGCTCGCCTTGCTGTTCGAATCTCCGTGAGAGATCCAGACAAAAAAAAGTCACTGGTTATCTGCCCCAAGACAAATTCCCGCATGATAAAGATACTTCGAAGAAGTTTCGGGGGGTGCTTCCCGTCGCCTCCTCTGAAGAAGTTGAGGCTATATGGAGATCTGGAAGGTCAACACAGGAGCGAAACTAAACGTCAGATGGTGCACTCCTGATGCCCATGTTCTTCCCTCTGATTCTATGAGGAACCTAGAGGATCAGGCAGATCTTTCTCCGGTCCCTTCCGTGGACAGATGGTCCGCAACCTTCGTTTCACCAGCCTCGTTGTGCAGTCTGTCTCCTTGCTTATTTGCATAAGGGGGCCTGTTTCACATGAGAGTTGAATGAGAGCGGCCATCCGGTTGGAAAGCTCAATTCATTCAAAAAGCAGAGATCGCTCATTTCCGAAATCCCAGAGGGCCAGGGGATACTGTCCAAGGGACTGACAAATGGTAAGTGACCCGACTCAATCGAATCCTGACGAGAGCAAGAAGGAGGAGCAAGTCGGTCGTATTGACTATTTGCTGGGCAGGATGAAAAATAATGAGGAGAGAGAGGCAGAGAGCTGGGTCTATCTAGAGCAAACGGTCACCTGGCCCCCAGGGGCCCGACTTGGTCAGGAGTCCTGGATAAGTCCAGCGAGTCAGTCCTAATCAATCGACCTCCTCGAAATGTCTTCTGACTCGCGTCGTCGCAACGGAGTCATTGTCCCCTTGGTGAAGTCCGCCAAACTCATCTTCGTCGAAAGCCAGGGACTCCCAATCCTCGCCCGCCTGTGCGCGGGCCAGCCCGCCCGGGCGCCGGAGCTCCTGAGCGTGCGCCGCACCAACAGCGCCGCCGGGGGATCCGCCACGTCTTCATCGAGGACGGGCTCGTGGTCCTGGCCACGCGCTACCACAAGGGCTTAACCCTCAGTGGCGACATCCGCCTGGTGCACCGGTACCTTCCGCGGGAGGTGGGCGAGACGCCCGTGCTCTACCTCTGGCTCGTGCTGCCGCTGGCCAACCTGTTCCAGTCGGCCTCTCTCTCTCTCTCTGCTCCCTTCTCTCGCTACTCTCTTTGCAAACTTCTTTCACCATAGATGGTCGTACCTCTCAAACTACTGCTGGGCTCACCCATACTACTTACCTGTACATGAACAATTTGTATATGATCAACGGGGGAACCTTTCAATTCTCGTTCGCGTCTGAGACCGCTGCGTCTAAGCCCGCTGCATCTGAGCCCATTCCGACCGGCCAGCACAATGACTGTGCTGTGCCGGAGCATGAGCAACGACCAGCCGCTGAGCAAGGCCGCGACAACGTTACGATCCGGCCTGAACATCCTCCTACCAGCCCTGTCACAACGCCAGCTCCTCCTGGCGGCTCCACTGGAGCCCATTCCTAATAATCCATCCCGACCTGGTTCGCATCGCCGCATCATGTCACACCCAATCACAACTACAATTCTTTTTTTGCTTGGCCTGCTTGGTAGAGTCACTGAATGTCTGGAAAAGACAGTCTATGAACTCTGAAGTTTGGGCCCGTACGGGACTTCCCCCCTAGAGGGCCCACTCATAGCCCAATCCTCTTCCGTCGGACAGGATTCGTTCCGCGACGCCAACATCGAGTCTCTTCTGAGAGGCGACGCTCCCAGTCGCTTGATTTTACCGACCCCGGCAGCCTTGGGCGCCCTCGAAGATCTTTGGATCCATTTTACCTCCCAATTGGAGAACAAAGACTTTGGGACCACGACCATCATACCCCCGCACTCGGATCCCCAAAGGTATGGAAAATAAGAGGCGGAATTCCTGAGAGCGTTCAGTTATCGGCACCAAGAAGTCAGAGCAACGTACGATGCCGTCCCCGCCCTGCTCGCGTCCACCGGGACCACCGTGGTCGTCGTGCCGCTGATCGCGCTCCGCACCGTCTGGGACCCCGCCACGCCCGCCGTCGACAGCACCGTCGTCTTCGTGACCAGCGAGGCCTCGGTCTCGGACCGCTTCCGGACGTTCCTCAACCGGCTCGAGGGCCAGTACCGCCTCGGCCGCATCGTGATTGACGAATGTCACACGATCTTCAAGGAAGGCAAATACTCAGATGAGCACGCCTTGCATCAGCTTGCTCTAGTGGAAATGAACTGGAACAGTCTTTTCACGTTCGTGATTGGAGAGATAATCCATTCAAAATGTGAGTACCGATTGGCATTGAGTCTTCAGAAACGACTAATTTTCAACCAGCTCCAGGGCTCGGGCATTCCGCAGCACCCTCGATAATCTCCGAGTCAATCAAGTGACCGTCGACGATTGCTGGCTATTGGCAACCCGTGTCTGTTCGGTTTTACCCCAGACAGAGATCGCTAGCTTCAAAAATGTATTACATATTGAAGATAAAAATGTGTTCGTAGGAAGCTGAGCTGCCGTGGCGGCCCGGGCTCACACCGGCCCGCGCCCAAGACTATAGGTGTTTTCGTGGCCACTTTAGGGCCAAAACAATAAACTCCTACCCATCTAAGCGCTCTTGAAGCTATGATTCTAAATGTTCATTCTTATATCACTCGATCACTCGATGAATTTTTAGTCTGAAATATCACGGTGGAATATCAAAACAATCAAACGGATGTAAGGACAAAGACCTCGGTCTCACAAGCAAATCCTGGTCCTCGGTTTATCGCCAAGACAGCCACTGACCACGAGAAGCAGAAGCAAAACATTTACAAATCGCCGACCATTGGTTTTATTGCTTCGAGTATTCAAACGGCTGATTTATTTGACCCCGTGCATTGTCTCCAAATATCTATTGAAATGTCGATATCAGCGTCGACATACCTTCTGCTAGGATCGCTACCTTTATTAGCGCTGTCGGAATGGAGGTCCAAATCACATACCGGTACAGCCGTGTTCAAAATGCTTTGCTCAGTTGCTTTCCTTAGCAGCCCACTACTCCTACCATTCACGGACTGGTCAGATTATCACCGTCTGATCACTGTCGGCCTGAGCTTTTCCTTACTAGGCGACTTTTTCCTGATCCCTTCACGGCCTGAATTCTATGACTTGAAAAAGGAGGGATTGACTTCAGGCGGGCCAATTGGAGAAAGAAAAATATCGGTATCTTTTCAAATTGGCATTGTCGCCTTCGCAGCGGCTCATGTAGCCTATACCTTGGCGTTCCTACGTGACTCCCTCGAGACTTCCTGGATAGTCTTTGCCGCCACCTTTCTGGGCACACTGGGGGCCGCTAGGTGGCTGGGGGTGATCTATCCTCAACCGAGCTCTTCACTCCGAAGCAATGCATTGGGCCTCGATATAACTCCTGACATGAAAGCGCTGGTGTCCTTGTATGCTATTATCATTGGGACGATGTTTGCAGCCGCAACTTCTACGACCCCGTTAGTTGCAGCAGATTGGTCCAACTCGCGAGCTCTGGGAGCTGCCATGTTTGTCCTGAGCGATCTGTTTGTGGCAAAAAATGCGTTTGGAAAGTCCTCCGCTTCAAATGGCCGAGGCTTGATTGAGATCTTAACAGGTTATGGGCTTTACTTCTGGGCCCAGATGGTTATCGCCAACACAGTGGGTGTATAATGAACTGGATGAACATGCATTCAGTGACATCTATTATCTGGAAGTTTGGGGACAATTTTGATCCATGACATTCACCATAGTACGCAGGTCTATCCATAGCTAACCTGTTTCAATTCACCTGTGTGGATGGCACGAGAAAAGTAAAGTCCTGTTGCCAGTCAAACATGTATCATGATGGCTGAATGATCTCTAGCAGAGACACCCATATCACTCCTGATCTTTCAATAAATCCTCTGGATGGAGACCCAGATCCCGCCGGTGCTCATCAATCCAACGATCGAACAATGCCTCCTTCTCAGTCACCAGTCAGGAACAATGAGCGTGCTGCCAAGCGGAGAATACGCCTTTTTCTGCAGGCTTGAATACACACTTTTCGGGTATTGTAAACCTGAATGAACGAGTGTCGACCGGAGGGCGTCAGTTGTCGTAAGAGAGGACCACGTGGGGTCCCATCACGTGACACGACGCGAAACTCGCGCGTCGCGTCGCGTCATGCGCAGACCAATTTATGCAGCTCATCATTTCCACCAACTGGCCACTGTCATTCCTCGGCTGGTCTGCGGGTTTCATTGGTTGCTGTTCACCTCATACCAACTGCACGTTTAAACCTCAAGAGCGTACTCTCATGCTGTGCAACGAACAAATGTATCAGGCTCAATGACCGCCTCCCAACCCATCCATCGACAATCCAATGTCGGCAACCTCGGTGTCTCCGACGAGGTTGGCATCAGCACATGGAGCGGTCATATCTGACATTGTGCTTGAAAAGCGGCCATGCACAGGACGCGGCAGGAAACTTACCCTTGCACAAGAAAATGTTCTGAACCGCCTCTATGAGTTGGAACGACCATCCCTCCCAGACGGAGAAGTGCCCGTGAAACCGTTCTGGGTTCACCTTGCATCGCGTTTTCAGCAATGTACGGGACGAGATTATTCCTGGCTATCCGTGAGGCGGAGGATCATGGGACCAGCAAAAGCCAGTCAGCGCACAAAAAACTCCAAACCACACTCCGGGGTTGGAGAAGTTGGCGAGAAAACTCCGACCGTTGAAGCTGTCCCCTTGAATGTTGCCGAGGACCCACTGCCCGAGCAAACTCCAGGAGATGAATCCCCATCACCCCAGAAGCAACATCAGACGACATCAAACTTTCAATCTCCCGATGGCCCAGAGTACTCCGAGCGGGAAGGAAGTCCTTCTCGCGCTACCGACCGGACACGAAGAGTCCTTTTTCCTGGTGCAGCGAAGCCAACGCAAAACATCGGGGATACCGCTGGATCCAATTGCGCCCCTCGGAAACGTCTCCCTGTGCGCCCATGGGAGCTCGAATCGCCTCCTGCACATCAGCAGAAACTGCGCATGTCAAACTTGCGAAACAGCACTGCCACCAACCGATCGCATCACCGGCCAGACCCTGTTTCGCACCGGGGTAGCTTAGCAGGCCCCACTATCTCGCCGTCGCCTTCACGTGCACATGAGAACTCTGCGCCTAGACAGGTCTCTCGGAAACCTGAAGCACCGACAGTCAGCCATGGGTCTCGGGATAAAGTACCCGCAGAGAAGATTGAGGTTCGCTGCACCCGACGAACATCACGTCCAGATTACCTTGATGACTCTCTTTACCCATCTGACCCTGACGAGTTACCCATGACGCCGGTCCTGATATCGAGATCATCTTGTCGAGTCAAGAACAAGTTCCGCTGATATCGACTGGAAATTTGTAAGATCTACAACCAAGCCTATCGATGCACGTTGGTCACGGTTTAGGAAATCCCCAGTGCAGCTATCAATACACTCATCAGTGAAGCAATCCATATCTCCTTGCACGAGTAGAAACACAAGTAGCAATTCCTTGGTTTTTGTACTCCTCTTCGTTTAGTGCCTACTTCCAATTGGGCAAAGTCGTTGGACTCCCACTTGAGCATGGCAGTGACAAGACATGTCCTAAGAATCTTGCCAATTATGGTTAGCTGCCTTGAACATTGTAAAGCATCTAGATTCTGCTGTACATGAAGGAAATTGCTTACTTCCAGGCTCATCTGTCTTTGCCAAACAAAGAGGTGCCGCCGATTTACCCACAATAGGTGCATCGGGTGATCCCTGATTATGCACGACACGGAGTGATTGCAAGCTTGAGATAACATAGTGCCTATCATTCCGCCTGAGGACGCTGCTTGTTATGTGTATTGTATCTACTTACCTATAGATAATGCTACTATACTTTCTCGCCGACATAGGAAATCATCAGTAATTGTTCGCAGCAACAGCGAACACCGTCAAGAGAGTATCTCCTTGTGGGATGATTGAATCACAAATAATCTATCTCAACTTGGAAAAACATAGTAAAGCTCGTTACTCGAGTCTCGGACATCACGGGGCTGAGCGTCACTTTGTGTAAACACAGAAGCATATAAGATGAACAGCAACGGTGTGATCCAATTCTGGACTCTTGTCAGTCAATCGTCACTTGATCGAGTTATTCAGGCATAGCCAGGCACTGTAGTGTGCTGTTCACAGGTGTAGGAATATACGTGTGTCAAATGTGTCAAAGGGGTACTTTATATTCGGACATCCGTTACTTCAACGTTACTTAATAGTTCATATCAGGGATAGATCTATATAAGCCTCTCTGGGTTTTCACATATATGCAGTATATTGATTCACCCTTCGCACATTCGTCAAAAGACAATTTGAATCCATTGTAAAGATGAAATGCACAATCGTCCGAAGTAGTTGAAGTATTTGGGGCGAAGAGGTGTTAAGGTATTAGAGTCAGAACACGTCGTAAAAGACGCAATTCCGTAAAAACCAGACGGTTAATTCCAGCACTTAGAGCTGCTCCAGCCGCTGGTATAAAGCGCAAGTTGTCACCTCTTCTACTCTTTCTTCTTCTTTCTCCCCTCCCTCCTACGACGGTCTATCGAATTCTTCTGCTGCCTTCAGGGCTACTCGAACGCCTTGAAGAAAACTCAACTTACGTCCCCATTCATACTTACACTCTACCAACCTGCCTACAGTCTACCAACCTGCTTTGTGCCATTCAACCGCCGCAATGGGAAAGGTGAAATGGGACAGTGCTGCTGATCAGCTTGTATGTATCCCCCTGAGCAATTGTCCTTGAATTGTTTCCTCCCAAATCACGAGCCTCTTCGCACTTCTGCGTTAGTTTCTCGTTGATTGTGTCTCCTCATGAAAAAACTGTCTCGCACTTCGCCGTCACTCTGTCGTGAACCTTTCCTCCTCGCAAAAAGCCCTCCTCGCACCCCTCCGTCAGTTTTCGTGCCTTTTGTCTCCTGAAAGCAACCTCCTTCGCATTAATTTGTCACTCTCTCATGAACCATCCCTCAAAATGAGTGGCCCTTTTCCGCACCTCCTCGTTACTCCCCCGTCAATGGTGTCAACTTGTCTCCGTCAATTGTTGTTCTTTCCCAGATCACGAACCTCCTCGCACTTTTTCGATGTTTTTATGTGGATTGTGTCTCCTTATGGAAGTCCTTTCACGCACTTTATCGTCACTCTATCGTGAACATTACCCCCTCGCAGACCGCCACCCTCGCACTCCTCCGTCTATTCCTTGTGCTTTGTGTTTCCTGGTAGCAGCACTCCTTCGCACTAATCTGTCACTCTGTCGTGATTCATGTATCCTGAGTGGCCATTTTCACACTTCTTCGTTCCTGTCTTTCTCCGTCAATGTTGTCTCCTTGAGAAAATCCCCCTGGCCCTTCTGCGATTGTTTCTGGTGAACCGTGCCTACTTATGAAAAGCTCCCCTCACATCTCTCTGTCATTTCCTTGTGGATCATGCACAGACGACATGGATCGAGTGAAGCGACGTCCGAGCTTGGGTCCTTCCTCTATGCAACTTTTCCGAACTGCCGCAGTTTTCGGATCGTGAGTTTGTGAACTAATGTACTAATTACTACCAGCTTCTCACGAAGATCCTCGAAACTCATGAGCTGAGTGTGGATGTAAATCGTGTTGCCGAGGTCTGGCGTGAGTGGTCCCATTTCCAGCAAACCAGATTCAGACAGATACTGATGCTTTGATAGCTGTTGCAGATGGCGAATCCAAGCCGACTCCCCGTGCCATCAAGGAGAGGATCACCAAGATCAAGGAACTGAGCAGGAATGCTGCAACTGGCACCTCTGGTACCACCGGCCCAAACACTCCCAAGAAGAACACTCCCCGCAAGAAGCCTGCTGCCAAGGCCGCTATTTTCGAAACCCCCAGGAAGCGCAAGCGTCCCTCCAAGGCTCAACAGGATGCCGCGGCAAAGCGTGCCGCCTTCGAACAAGAGGAAAATCAACCAATCAACCTTGACGACAGCGATAACGAGAAGGAGAGCATTGAGATTGACGAGACCGACGAGGAGGAAGCCCCCCACACCGGATCTAAGCGCGAGAAGCTTGAAGACAAAAAGGTTGAACTGATCAAACTTGAGGATTCGGATACTCAGGAGGTCAACTTCAAGCCCAAGAAGACTGACGAAGAGGAAGAAGTCCTCTTTGCTGATTCGCCCAAGTTCTCCACCTCGAGCAAGCTTAAGGGTCAGGATGACGAAGTCCTATTCGATGATGCCCCCAAGGTCGTTATTCGCTCGGACAATCGATATGGTCAAATCGATTCTCGCCTCCGCCAAACCTCAACGAACCCCACCTTGAGCCAGGAGTTTCCCAATGAGAATGATGGTGATTGGTATCCTAACGAGGATGCATATGCCTAGGGCAAGTCCAGATCGACTCAATAATTGTCAACGGACATCAAAATCGCATTACACACTGATGTTTCCCCCTGAACATGGCCCATTGAATCCCCAAGGAAATTTGTTTATGCTCCTTTCAAGTGCGTTGCACAACTGGACGCTTGTCTTTCTACTGATGGGCGAAAAATACAAAGAGAAGGAAGCATGTTGAATATGCAGACGGAGGAAAATCTAGAAAAGTACAAAAAGGCAGGTTGATCGGGGGAGAGTTGATTACCTCTTACATACTGGAATTCACATATTTGCCGTCTGTTTCTACTTCGAAATTGGGATGTTATGTCCTGTTGACAATCGTAGGATAGGCCCTGGTGCTATAAGTAAGTACTTCGTGTAAGCAATTGTTGCTGTCGTCTCATCTGGAGAGACCTGACACGCGTTGGAGTTGGCACCTTTTCCCCAACGTCCGATACTTTCTTCCTTCGTTCACCTTTCCCATTCCCACCCATCACCACAGCTTCCTGCTATCCTCTCAACAAGTCACTCATTCATCAACTTGAATCATCTCCAAGATGCCCAAGGGTTGGGACCAGGCCAGGGAACAAGAGGTATCTCCCCCTTCACGCAGCCGGCATGGGAACACCGATGCCTTCAACCAGACAGCACATCTCTACTAGCCCTCCCATCCCCAATCATCACTGTGGTCACCTTCACACAGCTCGCCATCTTCAGTCACTGACCACCTTACTCTCATTCTAGCTGTTGCTCGCGATCCACGCCGTTCACTCGCCTTTCGACTGGAACGCCATCGCCGACAAGATTGGTGGTAAACAAAACTCGATTGAACTTGAACATCTCGGTACAGCTTGCTAACTATCGCGTCTATAGATGCTACCCCGAATGCGCTGAAGAAGCATTTCGGTGTCATCAAGAAGCTGCAGGACAGCGGTGGCTTGAAAGCTGCTAGCGAGAAGAAGCGTGCCACGCCCAGCAAGACCTCCGGCAAGGCTGCTAAGCCCTCTACCAAGAAGGCCATGAAAGTCGAGGAGACCGATGAGGATTCCGACACTGCTAAGGATCTCGTTGACAGTGAGGACTAATGGGGACGTGTCCCTGATTCCGAGACTCGTTGTTTCCGATTTGCCGATTATCATACTTGAAATGGCTGTATTCAATCATCTGTTCTCGCGTTATTTGATATTGTTCCGGGGTCCTGGAGATTTAGGGTGTCATTTCAGTGTCGAAACGGTGCAGTCGAGACTCGATGTTCTCTCATGTTCTTTTAACTAATCGCCACTAAGGCATATCTGGAAAACAATTCAACCACCGGCTGTATAGCCTTGTTTCAATCATCGTATTCACATGTAGACTCGTCTTTATGACACAAAAAGCAAATTCAAGGACAACATTCTCGACTGGGAATCTATGTATAATCATCAAACAGAGGGACAAAGGGACAACCGAAACGACAGACGCTGGAAATTCAAATAATGCACTAACCAGGTCGTTGGACCTGCACTTATACAGCGAGGCATACACGTGCTTCAAACTGACAGTAGAGCGAGCCACTATTTACAATGGCCCGGAAGAAGGGGGCGTGGAGGTCCATGGCCCACTGACAAACTGCGATCCCGCGGGTCTTCCTGTTCCCTCCGCAGACTGCATTGGATAATGGCTGGACTGGAGATAGGGCATTTGGTGAGCGTGCGCGGTGTCCGGATACCCATTTGAACCCTCGTGTCCCATTTGATGCCTTGGCACAAACTGATTCGGGCTGATCTGAGCTAGGGGGTTGGGGTGCTGGTTGCTCCCGTGCTGACCTTGACCGCCAGACCAGACATTTGGGACTTCCGACCCCGAGTGTGTTCGTATCAGATGTTGTTGTTGGTATTGGGCCTGCGCCTGCTGCAATGGCGAAAATCCTTGCAGGGCAGGATCTTTCGTGGAGTGCTGTGATTGCGTACGTGACACCGGGTAGCTCTGGAATCTGGCTTGATCAACCATGGACTGCGGTGAATGACTGGGGAATTTCTCAACGGCTGGTTGATACTGTTGGGGATCCTGATACCCGGGTGGGACCATGCCTCGATTTCCATAATCCCTTGGGGACTGTTCAGTATGCTGAGGCGACGGATACGAACCATAGAATGGCTGTGACATAGTGGACGTATGAACTTTATCCCCGACAGTACCCATGTGTCCTGAGGGAGCCTCTGATTGCCACTGCGGTTTTGGTGCTCTTTCTCCGGCCATTGCACGATTCATGTGCTCTTGCTGATTGCTGGTCATTGTCCATGTTGCTGGAGGCTGGTTACCATGCATGGCTGCAGCGCCAGGAGGATACCCCTGGTAGGTGTCGGGATGCATGCCCATATTGTAAGCGTCAGGCTGTCCTCGAAATCCACCGTTGTTACCCCATGCCGTCGGCCTCATATTCGCGACCGTGCCCTGGGGGTAACCGGGATGGGCCTGGTTCGTATAGAAATCCGGCTGGGCGCCGTTAATTTGCCCGCCGTCGTGTCGGATTGAGTTCTATATTTCGGTTAGGACTCTTGACAGGCCATCACAGCAGAGGCCGCAAGACTGGAAAGGCTCGAACTCACCGGTCCGTACCCCGCATTTGCTGGTTGGTGCTCGTACCCGCCGGGCAGATGCTGACCAGGCTGGTTTGGATACCAACCTGGTACTCCCGTTCCATGCAGTGGGGCTTCCGACTGCAGATAAACCTGAGGGTCAAGGGAGCTCTATCCCACCATCAGTGCCATTCTTGTAACGCTTCGCAGACATAATGAGCGCGATTCCCTACGGAAATTCTCGCACTGTCCACAGCGGGATAGTTGTCGCCCGCCGTATCATTCCCGGACTCCACCCCACGAGTGCTATTGTTTGTTTGGTGGGGTGCTTGCGACGGCCCTCCTCCGATCGATGGTGTCGTCGATGGCGTCAGATGGATCGGCTCGGTTGGGATCTCCCATTGTGACTTGCCGGTCGTTCTTTGGACATAGTACCATTGTCTTCGGACGCCTTCCCATTGCGGGAGCCTGTCGGTGGTTGTTAGATCACCGTCTTTGAGGTCCCGCTGTCTGGACTTACCAGCCTTCGGGGAGTTGGGGCGGTGGGGAGGACGGGCCTGCAGTGTCGGCAGGGGCCTCGGGCGCCATGGCCTATCGTGGTGTGATGTCTAGATCAAAAAGAAGGATGAGACATACAACGTCCAAATAGTGGAAAGGTGAAGTCCTGGCAAACTCTCGGATAAGAAGATCTTGTGGGGCTTTATCGTGCACAGACCCCGTTGGAAGTCGAGTACGGGGAGTACGGAGTATAAAGAATCTAGTTGCCCTCTACTCTCTAAGATATAGCAATTAAGCTGTAAAGAAACCGTTCCTCGCAAATGACGAAAATAGCATAGTCATTAGGTATCTCATATTGTATCGCTAATCAAAATCCAGCAACCAGTGTCCCTTCTCCAGAAAAGTCAAAGCGCCATATCCCTACACCGTACTCCATACTCCATTGTCCATCGAAGTGACAAGCTAATAAATATGATCATAGAGAGTATGCCTTCTAGATTGATGCCAGGATAAAAGTCAACGACATACGTAAGAATATAAATCTCGAAACGGCAGCAACATTGAGAGCCATATCCGCATTACCACGCGTGTCCTGGGGCTGGTTCAATGTCATCACCATTCCAGTCTTCATCTCCGCTGAGTTCATCGTCAAGGAAATCATTCTCGTTGTATTGCATCTCAGTAGGTCGTTGGTTGTCAATGCGGATGTTGACAACGTCACACATTCCCTGAATGTCCCCGGCGTCTAGGGGTGAGTTCTCTCGAAATTGGCTGCTTGCGATCTCGCTAGCTTCAACTGAACTTTGTTGTGCCAAGCGGGTGCTCTGGCGTTTGGCTGAGGTTGACGGACCACCATCGGCAGGTTGTGATGCACCAGCCTGACCTTCATCCGCAACGCCTACTGCTGAGGTAGGATTGCTTGCATTCAACTGACGCTTGCGAAGAGAGCGCAAATTTGGATCTGGCGGCGGACTGTGGCGGAGGAAGACTTTTTCAAGGCGGCTGATCCACCTCTCACGAAAGGTAGCACGGTCTCGCCATCCGATCTTCAGAATGGCACTGATTCCCAGTTTCCGCAGATCACGGAGATTAGGCGCAGCGTTGACTAGCGAGGTAAAGAATACCTCCGCAGTAGCATCATCCCATTTGCGCAATTGGGTCAACTCGATTTCTTGGAGACTAGTCGGCCATGTGGGTATTTGTGTTTTCACAAGCAGGCTTTCGAAGTGTGGCTCAACATCATGATAGCTGGACCCGTCATGCATGGAAACATCCATTTTGAAAATCTTAAGGTTTGGACATGATTGACCCAGACCTTGGATAAAGGACATGCTGAGATGACGATTATGACCAAGGTTAAGTTCTTGAAGATTCGTACCATGTGAGACCAGAAATGCCGTGAGATCATCCGACCACATTCTATCACAGTTTCTCAATGTGAGGGATCGGAGAGTGTGTGGCAGGTGAGTTAGGACTTCGCCACTGACCAGTGAACTTTCAAGGAATTCCAGCCGCTGGATGTTGGGCAGAACATTGAGGGCACTGGCCAAAAGAGTCCCGTTTTCGGAGAGCTCCTCTCGCTGGTTGTCGTTGAGGTGGAGCAATTTGAGCTCCTTCAGGCTCTGAAAAGCCGGTTCCACATGCTTTGCGATCATGAGCTCGAGAAGCTTCTCCACTTCTAAGAAACGGCTGTTCCAATCCCAACTGCGGAGATGGATTCCAGTATCTCTGATGGCAGAGAAAACAGATTCGGGATAAGTCCACCTCGAGGGTACTATGTGCCATGGGGGAATCCCAACAGTGTAATCGTCTTTATGGTAAAGTCGAACAGTGTGCACTTGAGGGATCTTTTCAATCAATTTGGCGAGATCGAAATACCCGAGAGTGGGCCCACTTTTGTAGACTAGTAGCGGTTCGACCTCAAGATGCAGGTTTTTGATCTTGCTGGAGTAGTTCATGGAGAGTGAGTCTGGCGGTAGCGACAATAGATTGAAAAGCGCATGGGTCTTGTGGGCAGGTAATAGCGGTGGGCATTGAAACAGAGCAGCAAGGGCGGGCTCCTGAAAGCTTCGACAGAGTAAAGCCATACCGAGGAGCCATTTGACAGAATCGTTGCGATCTGAACGCCCTTCGTCAAGCAATGGATAGGACGCGCGCAGGAAGATGTCGAGTAAGATATGATACGGAAGGGTCTGCCAGGGGGGGATAACACCCGATCCCAGAACAATCCCAAAGTCTTCATCTACCTTGGCACGTTTGTGCAAGGGCTTTCCCACCTGACTCCTACTCTTGGATGGTCGTTTGGTCTGCTTTGGTTTTGGGGTCGCGGTGCGCCGCGGGCGAGGCTGTCGAGGAGGGCGAGGTGTAGTCATTGATTCTGGTGGTACAGCTTGCTCTTCTACTTCTGTGGCCGCGGGTTGCTCCAGCTCTTGGTCCTCGGCGGGCTCATCAAAGCTGGCATCAGTGGACTCTTCGCGATAAGATCTTGGCATTCGTGTTGCGCTGCGCGAACGGAGGGATAATGATGCACGTTCAGATCTAGGCACATTATCCGAATCATCGGAAGAAGTCTCTTCGTGATAGGTCTTCACCTTCGTGCGGCTGGACCGCATGGGTCGAGTGGATCTGGATCGTGAATTCGAGGGCGCCATGACGGATAAAGTCGCGCTAGGATAAGAGAGTGGGTAGCAGCAAAGCGGGCCACATCACCCACTTGACAGGTGGCGCGCAACAAGATGAACAACCTTCAGATGTTCCTGACTCAGACGCGACCAACCCTCCGGTGTTGTCGTTTGAATAAAACCTGACAATCCGGATGCGACCGGTTCTTTGACGGATGAGGTCGAGGACGCCAAGACTCGAGCTTATCGATAAGATGATAATGCAACGCGATCACGTGAAATCCTCAGGCAGAAACCCCCGCCCTCAGGCAAGAACGCTAGTCCTGATTGGGGAGCACTAGATGGCCCCAAAATAGATTCTCAGCTTGAGCTTTAAAGATGGGCGCTTCCAGCCACCTCGAGGGGAAACCTCCTGGAATCATACACAGTCGGCGTATTGATACCCAAAACCTGGTTCCGATTCTTTTTTGTCGAATAAATGGCCAGAGCTGGACATCTGTGCGTCTTCTGATGGTACAATGATGACAGCCTATGCGACCCGGGATTATCAAAAGTACCTGTGAGAACTGGTCGGGCTCGACTTTGCAAATGAACCTCGAGTCTCGAGACGTTTAATATATCTCATATGGAAATCTCCTTTCCTGTTATGATGGAGTCTGATCGGTCGAACCGTGGTGACCTCGGCGGGCCGCAGATGGTCATCCAACAATATGCGCGATATCCCCCGGCCATGGAATCAACGCTGCAGAGTGCTTCATCTTTAGGGAGTGCGCGGAGTCAATTGGATATTAACAAATCGCCTCCTTTGCAACGAAGAGAAACTCCAAGAAGTCTACAAGCTTCCCCCAGAGGGATGCGCTCCGTTATACCATCATCAGCTAATCGCGCTGGGCCATCTATGTCACCGCCCCTATTTGACCCCCAGCGCCATCAACCAATGAAAGATACGGCTGATAATGCAGATTCTCGTGTTCTCCCATCTCGGGATATTACCGAGGATACTATTGATGACGCCTATGTGGCATTCATTCTGTACTGCAATCCCAATGTTCCATCTTCGGTGGATACAGCAGAGCTGCGAAAGACGTTTCGATGTCTCCCACGAAGCGATGGCAAAAGCTTTAATATTTTCACATTGTTTGGTCTCATACGAAAACGGCTACAGAACGAAGAGTTGAAGACCTGGATTCAGCTAGCAATTGAGCTGGGTGTAGAACCGCCCTGCATGGAGAAGAAACAAAGCACCCAAAAGGTGCAACAATACACTGTCAGGCTCAAGGTATGTATCTCTATTCTAGTATGTTCTTATGCCTAACACAATTTAGCGTTGGATGCGTGCCATGCACATTGATGCGTTCTTTGAGTATTGCCTTGGTTTGCCACATCTTTACTACACGCAACTTCCACCATCCGGTCCTTTCGTTGGCGAACCCCGCGATGGTGTAGCATTGGAAGAGGATCTCGCTCTTCGAGCACTTGTTCCTCAATGGAAGCCCAAGCGCGGACGAAAAAGAGTTGAAGACAGAGATGACGAAGACAAAACAACGAAGCGACCTCAGTTAGACACATCAGTGGGTGCCCTTCACCAGGGTAGCTTTCAATCCCACTCAGTGACATTTCCCCAAAGTGCTATTCCGTTCAGTGCGTTTCCCGACGATATGGAAGCACACGACCCCTGGATGACAGCCACATCATCCTTCCCTAATGGCAATGGCCAGGATCCGCATGGCCAAGATCTGCGCTGGCGATTGCCCGAGCGAGATGCGTCTCCGGCTAATTATCCCCAATCTGCCATCATTCCTCGAAGCCATATTCCATCAGACGTGCTGATGTCTGCCGAACCACGGTCAGCCGTTACTCCTTCGACTGGGGAGAAATCCCGCGCCAGGAGGCGGCATGGTCCCGCAGTCTCCTCCGCTTGGCCAAACAGTCACGGGCTCTCCGCAGGAAAGGGTCGAGGGAGACCGCCCAACAAAGGGTCGTCATCGGGATCTTTCTCAACTTTCCAAGTAAATCCCAGCCGGGAGTCGTCACAGGCGCCCAATACCGACACTCAATCCACCCCGCTTGTACTTGACACAAATCCTCCGCAGCCTTTTCCGACTCCATCCTACAATCAAACTCCCACCCCTGTTACACACGGAAGACCCAACAAACTCCAACTACAGGTCCCTCAACACTCTGGGGCACCGGTCAGACTTGCTACGCCTCCAAGGTTAGTCGTCAATGGTGTCAATGGTGCAGTCATCTCGGGCGCTGAGGGACCGAATGGCATTCGTCATCATGGTGCCACCGACACCGAAAATATCGGTGTCATGTCTTCCAAGCCTTCAGAAAATGCTTCCAATCCTCCAAATCCTTCCATCGACGACATCGTCCGCGCACTCTCCGAAGAGCTTCTCCGAGCTAGACTAGTAGGACACCCAAGCACCATGCATTCCGACGAGGCATCCGCCCTAGCCTCAGCGATTGTCATCAACATATCCTCCATATACTCACAATTCCAACTTGGCACCCCCTCCCTCCTTTTGGCCTTTCACCTTGGTATTGGACACCATTTTGGATTCTCAGGTACCCAACCCGGATCCTTGATTATAAAAGTGGAACGTGCCGCAAACCCAGATGGGAGCCGAGCGCCCCTCTCCAACGGACATCTTGCTGGTTCCCAATATACAATCTCCCACGAGTATAAAACCTCGAATCGGTTTTCAATGCAAATCACACTTGCAAATGTCAACCCTGGTATAGCAGGAGCAGGAATCGCAGCTCACTCGAGTGTAGGCGAAGCCTCGAGTCATGCCAACCGCAACGCCCATGCAGTGGATCTTGATCTTGACAGCGACGAGTTCGGTGAGCCTGCTAACGAGGCTACGTGGAAACAACGTTATATTCGACTTCGGGCTCAGATGCAGAGAAGGGACCAGTCCTTGTCGCAATACAAGCGAAAGATTGTAGAATCTGTCATGGCTGATATATGAACTTCACCCGCTTTCATTCCAAGGTTGTTTTGTACTAAGATTTTCTTATAGCCTTTCTTCCTGTGGACTGCGGCTCACAAGACTGCTCTGATTTTCATTTGATAGGATACCCCTTTGATATATCATCGTTCAGTATCGGGACACTTGCATCTTCTGTTTCAGTCCTCTATTCTTTTAAACCTGACGGTCGTCCAACTCTCCTCTTTTTTTGGTTTCTTTTGTTTCACGATCCCTTAAAGTACTTTATTGCATATGGGATCAAGGGAATAGAGTAGAATTTCATCCGCTCATGTCAACCTTAGTATTCCAGAGGCCGTATGCTTCATGATGCAAACTTTTTGCTTGTTCACAAAAGCCTAGGTGGGCTTCGGGAGCAAATCGATATTTTTTATATTTTCTGCGGCTAAACATTGTCAGTTCTATTACTACTTGAGTAGTCGCAACACTATTCTATCGGGGGAGAGCCCGATTAGTTCGTTGGTAGTATTGAGGGTACTTATAACATTAATTGGACTCACCGCTCATCAAATCCCATGTGGTGTAGGGGTTATCATCGCTCGTTTTCACTTGGAATTCATTCCTCTTGTACCGTGCAGACCGGGGTTCGAATCCCCGCATGGGAGTTTCTTTTTAACATTTTTTTTCCACTCTCCTGTTTGTTGAATTGATTTAATTGCGTCACTTACCAAAATAGAGAAATAATGTTTTTTAAATTATCTGATCATGCAGCTCCAAATTTTGCTTCTTAAAAAAAGTACCAATCTATAGATGGTGCTCAAGTGGTGATGCAAGATATATTTTGGTGCAAATTCCGAGTCTACTTAGGTACAGGTCCACGGGTTTATCGATCCATCCCTCCCAAGGTCATGCTCCATGGTCTACAGGTCTTGCTAAGTAGCTGAACAAAGCGCTATACTGATAGTCAATCGAATCGATTGGTCTGTAATTTCCTCATATTGATACTTCAATCGGGTATAACCAGCCAAACACAATAATGATTCACACCAGAAATTTAGAAGCAACATTCAGAAAGTGAGACTTCAGGAGAACGAGAAACCAAAACCTTGACATACAACCTTGGAAAGAAATAGTAGATCATCAGACCCATAAACATTCTCCTAAGTACTAAACAATACTATTCTTGCTTTTCACAACCCCTGCACTCTCACCCGGTTCATCATCCTCAAGATTGATGATCTGGATAGCCTTGTTTCCAGGAGAAAGCGATCGCCAGATTGGAGTCGAATTGAAGACTTGCTGATCGCCAATTTGAGTCGCTGGCATTGTTTCCTGAGACGGAGCTTGAGGCCGCCAGAGAACGAGAGCTGTGCTCGGATTCTCCACTTCGAGTTCTGCAGGCGCTTCCTGCTGCCGGAGAAGAGGCATCAAGCTCCAGATCTTCTCTGAACAGCTCTTTGCCTGTATTTGGTCTTGGGGGTCTGGAAAGAATTGTGGTGGCGGCGGCGGCGGCGGCGGCGGAGGAGGCATCGAGACCCAAGTTACCTTTTCTTCTTTAGGTGGCTGCTCTATGCTGCGTGGGACTGGAATATCACGCGGATTCTGCAATTCATTCCCCCAAGAAGAAGCCAGGGTGTTCTGTTGTTGCTCATCGACCTTGATGACCGGGGAGTCTTGTCGGGTGACCAGAAGCTCGGAACTTGAGTGCGCATGGCTTTGAGTCTGAGTCTGATCATCGGGTGTTGGAGCAGGGGCGTTTTGTTGGAGACAGGGCTGGGGCTCCCAGTCAATAGAGTCAATCCGATGCTGGTCCTCGGGTCTTGTAGTTGAAGCATCCGGTAACACAGGAGGAGTTGGCACCCAATCCATTATTGAAGTGCCCAGCTGCATCTCCTCAGACTTGATGACTTGGTCCCCAATATTTGAAGGACCTTGCTGTCCCCAGGTAATGTCCGCTGGCCGGCCATGGTAAGGGACTTGCATGCCAAGATCATGTCCCCCAAAGGATGATGGTAGACCTGAGGGCATGTAAGGATAGCTTGTTGGCATAGCCTCAATTGGATAGGGATTAATGGAAGAAGAGGGATTTGTATCAATGGATGATGACGGTCCAGGTTGCATAGTGACCGCTTGCTGGAACTGCATTGAAGCATAGTCTAGAGGGAAATACTGTTGCCCCTGCATCATATTTTCGGGCACCGGTTGCGAAACATACGGCATTTGACCCAGTGCTGAGTTGTTTTGCGTGCCTGGCTCAGGCTTGATGAAAGGATTGCCGGGGAATGATGAGTTTACCGGATTCATTGTAGGCGCCATGAGAGATGGGTTCATCGGAAACGTAGTCTGCATCTCAACAGGAGGATCCACCACTTTAGGCTTCTTGGGCTTTCGCTTTGCTCTGGGTGTGAGGGTGCCTTCCATTTGCTGTCGAAATCGAGAGTATCGCATGCGAGCAGCATGACCATTAGATACCTGAAGATCAGATGCTACTCGGTTCCAATCGATCTTGATTCACGAGTTAACATATTAACGAGACATCCCAGGAGGAAAAGAGAACTAACCGATTTCAAGTCTGTCTGCTTGATTATTGCATAGAGGAACTTTGCAGTGGTGCTCTCTGTGTCTAGAACTTTTTGTCGTTGGGACATGATGTGGAAGTTAAACCCAAGTGAGGCAGAATCCACAGGATGGTATGGGATCGGATTATAAGCTGAACACTAAAAGTCTGATAAGTAAAGATCATAAGATCGACAGATCACCTAGGTATGCAAATATAGCCCGGAACTAACAGTGGGACGAATGGTCTCTTTGTGCTCTACAAGTAAAGCAACAATGGGATGCTTAAAGCGTGCATTGATAATAGCAGATGTCCATCAAGTGAGCTTGCTTTGATCGGCATTATGTATGTGGTACGGAACTGTTTGCCTCTTAACAGTGCATTTTGACATTGTACGATGTAATTTCATCTCCATGAATTTCCCATTTCATGAAATATAAGATAAAGAAACAAGACTATCCCACGGCTTTGTGCTAAAAATTTCCTAGGACTCTAATCATCTCAAGTGCTCCCGCATACTCTAGTAAGTACAAGAGAAGCATCCATGGATGCTGGCTTCTGCAATAAATATGTGATGCGACTGGGTTGAATAACTGCTCCTTACCCGCGCAGAGGCCGTAAAGCACCTTTGCTACAAGGGAGTCCCATCAAAAGATTTCTTATCATTCTAGTATTAGGTATTCAGAGTTTAATGTAATGCTGAATACCGGTTTAAGGACATGTTGCACACAGGTACTACCGGAGTGGCCCCGCCAGACACTGACTTAGTCACCGGCATCCCCCAGGCTTGGGGCCGAGCGGTGGAGAGCGAACGAAGCCCAAACAACATTGAACCCAAAAAATACCACCAACTAACTTGAAATTTGTCTTGTATTCTGAAGACTAATGCTCTCATGAGCTCTTAGCGACAGTGTTATCATGACTTTAGTAGCGATAGGCGCATGCTACATCGACACAATCCTGACGTGAGCTCACCCCCACTTACCCGCGAGATCTGGGGATCTGACAGAGTTTGACCAGGGTTCCTCACTACCCCGGGGAGGATGAGAAACTACGTTCATCCAGCCTCTGTCGCCGCAGAGGGGGGAACTGCCCAAACACTCTTGAAGTTTTAGGGCAATTGTTGCAATATGGCCCCCGCACCGAGGGATCCATGTTGAATTTGATATCGGTCCTTCCCTCGTTGTCATCTGTCTCATCAAATAAGATACAGGAAGGTCTCGGAAACCTGGTTGATATCAAGAATTGCATTTACCGGGAGCAATTCAGCGAGCCGGCGTCCAGCTACATCATCATGAGCCAGGCCTCTGGTAGTAGAACAATCGTCAATCATAATGAGTTGCCTGAAATGACCCGCGATGAATTCGCATCTGCAATTGAGCCTTTCCATGCGGCAACTGAAGTTCCTTGGTTTCATTTCGAGGTATGTTCGATCGCAAGGTTGTGGGCTCCACAGATGGCTTGATGCACGCAGGACAAGCTAACTTGAAACTAGGGTCGAGCGCCAGAAGTCACAATCGAGTGTATCCATCACATTCGTAGTCGTTTCCCAGAAGCACTTGTCAGCGTTGAGATTGAAAAGCCAGGTCGACTCGGTCTACAGAAACTTGCCGAGGCAGGGGATGTTGTGATATACTCCAAAGGCTGGGCCCAGGTGAGACTTCAGGAGGCATCCCTCAACTACCCAAGCTTTTAGAAAGGCGTCTGACATACGAGTAGAGCAATGGATATACGACGGCTGAAGACTGCCTGAGAAAGCAAATGCCAAATACTCCCCAGGCGTAAGCTTCCCCACATGAATATGTCTCAAAGAACACGGTTAACATTTCTATTTTCCAGATCTCTGCTCTGTTGTACCTGGGGCGCCGAAGGTGCTGCGGCTTTAGAGCCAAAAACCGGGAGTTTCGCCCATATCCCAGCGCATACCGGTGAACAGGTTCTCGAGTGAGCCAAGCGTCCCTCAATCCCAATGTTGAATACACAGGCTAACCGTTGATAGTACTATTGGAGCAGGTGATACATTTATAGCTGGGCTTCTTTACGGCCTCATATATCGAAGCAAGGACTGGCACTTCCTGAGGAGATTGGAGTTTGCAAATCACTTGGCTGGCCTGAAGGTAACGCAGGAAGGCTTCAAAGACCTGCATAAAGTGTTTAGACTTGGACCATACCAGGTCAAGGGAAGTTGGACAGGAAGAGGAAAGAAGTCATTACAGCTCAAGGAGGCCGCAATGTAGATCAAAACAGTTAGACTCAATGGGTTGGCGGTGACGAGGAGCAGATCAATTTCTGCGGAGTCCAGGGCACGTGATCTATGGCGGTGTGAAACAAAAAATATTCTGCCACTAACTTTTCGGTCTCGAGCTAGTTTTGCACGATTTATTTTAATACCATTTTAACATCCACACCTGTTACAATGGCTTCAGTTTACAAGAGTGTCTCAAAGAAGGCCGCCCAGCAGGCCGAGGATTCCTCCGACGAGGACATCCAGATGGAAGAGTACCTCGATGGAGAGAACGACACCACTGATAGCGAGGAGGAGTCCGACGACGAGGGCGCTGAGGTTGTCAAGAAGCAGCTTGCTTCTGGATTTATGCCCAAGACCAGAGTCCTTATCCTGACTTCCAGAGGTGCTTCTTTCCGGTATGTACAATGCGCCTCGCGACTTTTCAAGTTTTGAGAACCTAACGATTTGCGTTTTCTACAGCCACCGACACTTGATGTCCGATATTTGTGGCCTCCTCCCCCACGCGCACAAAGAGACCAAGCTTGATACGAAAAAGAAGGCCGCTGGTTACAACCTCCTCCTTAACTCTCTTGCCGACCTGCACTCATGCAACGTTATCTTCTTCCTCGAGGCCAAGAAGAACGGCCAGGATCTCTACCTTTGGCTTTCTCGCCCTCCTAACGGCCCTACCATTAAGTTCCACCTCAACAACTTGCACACCATGGGCGAGCTCGGCGCTGGATTCGCAGGAAATTGCCTGAAGGGTGGTCGCGGTCTGGTTGTCTTCGACCGATCCTTCGACGAGGCAGGCCCCGACATGGGCAAGCCCGGCAGTGAATACCGTGCGCTCGTCCGAGAGATGCTCCGCGGAGTCTTCTGTGTCCCCAAGCGCGGTGTCCGCGGCATGAAGCCTTTCGTTGACCGCATCATTGGTATCTTCGGAGTGGATGGCAAGATCTGGATCCGTGTCTATGAGATCCGCGAGTCCGAGGCCGGTGGAAAGAAGAAGGAGGGAGAGGAGACTGTCAAGCCCGTACCAAAGGGCAAGGATGGCCTGCCTGAGGTCTCTCTGGTTGAGATTGGTCCCCGCTTCGTCCTGACCCCCATTGTCATCCTTGAGGGCAGCTTCGGCGGTCCCGTCATTTACGAGAATAAGGAATACGTCAGCCCCAACCAAGTCCGTAGCGAGACTCGCCAGGGCAAGGCTGGCCGATACTCCCAGCGTCGGGATGTCCAGACTGATCGGGTTGCCAAGCGCTCTAACTTGGGATTGTCCGACAACTCTGTTCGCAAGGTTGATGCATTGGACACAAGGAAGCTATTTGCATAGGGGGTTTACGTTTTTGTTTCGTGTTGTTTGTCTCTAGACTTGATATCCCTCGGGATGATGTTTCGACTATATGTGTATATTTGATGCGACGCTCTCATCATGGTCCGTTAAGGCGTCGGGGCAATGTCTCATTCTGGCTTATTTCAAAAGTTGATTATTTCCATCTCTCCAGATGCTTGCCTACATTTCTTAAAACCCGAGCCCTGTCCGCTGCAAGGGGCGACGGACCTTGAAGGCGCATTAGCTAAGCGCTATATAAAGCCCCCCGGCCCCCGAGGCCTCTCAAGACCGCGATTGCGACACATTCCATCATTGCTTCTCAACTCCATCATGGCAGCTTTACTGGGGAGCCCATCGCGGCGAAAAGAAATCACTTCTCTTGATCAGTTGTCTGTCCTTTCAAAATCTTCTACTCTTGCCAGCCCCAACGGCGGGGTCTTTCGTCAATAGGCCCACCCTACGCGCGACAAGTGTTGATTGCCTCATTTGGTGACAACGCTGTCCACCTTGTTCCAATTAGTTACATTTTCAGAAATCATTTTTACTTTCCACCGATTTATCAAACATACCTACCAAAGAATCCCAGCGGGTAAATTCCCAGCCATTGCCTTACCGGGCCAGGGCCATACTAATAGAGCCTCAGGGCAATCTACTCGTATACAACAACACAAACAATTCCACCATGAGAATTGACCATCTTGCAACGGAGCTTCTGCTCCACGTATTTCACTCCTGTGATTCAATATCCGACGTTTTGAACCTATCTGCCAGCTGCCGTCGACTTCATCGCGTTCTCGACTCGACAAGTAAGCTCCAGATTCTCGTCAATGCCGCGGAGAATGAGTTCGGTCCCCTAGACGACATAGTCCAAGTGGTGACGCAGAATGAAAGCCAGCCAGCCCATCATATCCGCCATGCGCCAATGTCAGCTTCTCTCCTTAAACAAGTGATTAAGCTGGGAATGGTGGCGAAGAAATGGGAGACCATATTTCCCTTCAAGAAGTGGAAGTTGGACTATGAAAATCGGCGCTCACTCACCACCGACGAGCAATTGCGGCTTCGCCGTTCAGTATATCGATTATGGCTTTACCACCATGCCTTTCATTCCTGCTCTTACGACCGGCATTCTCGCAGTCTTCGCCATGTGGTATTGGAGCGGGCCCAGCTCCTCCACAACTGGTCTACTGAAGAATTGGCAGAAATCGAAGACCTGCGTCTCGTCATGAAAGACATTGTTCAAAACCACATCTGTCCAAGTAATGGTACCATCCAACGCAAATTCCGCAAGCGTTTCCCCAACAGCAATCAACAGCTCTCATTCAATATTCACCTCAACTATCCTCCACAATTACCTCAATCTCTATCCTACGATAACACCTTATCAGACAAGGGCCCAGGCAGTTCCATCCAACAGCATTTCCACACAGCACACCCCGGCAATTTCACTGGGTCTTCGGCGAAATATCGGTCTCGTTTCCGTAACGATCTTTCCCATGACCCTGGTTACGAGGGTTGGGGGGACGAGATTCCGAATTATTACGTTTTGCAGGATATGCTGAAGCTTGATCCTGGTCAGATTTTGTGGCTGCGGGATAATGCATTGTTGAAAGAGCAGGTGGAGGGGTATGTATGGTCGCTTGGGGAATGGTTTCGTGACAATGGGGAGACGTTTGCCGATACGTTGGAGTTTGTCATGAATGAACGGGGCTTGGATGTTAGCGAAGTGCGATCTGCCGTGGCTGATCGTGAAATGGGAATTGTGCTTAATTGCATATCTTAGATGGTCTGTAGAGGGTATTACTTTTAGATATCATTTTCAATACACTCCTATTTACATCTATAGATGCAAGACAGTACAGATCAAAATTGATCAGCCTAAAGCTGGCACACTATGAAAATATGCGAACAGAACCCCTTGGTATTTTCAACAAGGTTCCATTAGACTAGGCCTAATTGACCTTCACAAATGACGATCTGCCATTGTTCGAAGGGACTGGAGACAGTAAGGACGCTAATTAATAATCTAACACTATAAAAGGCTAGACCGGAGAAATAAATTGCCCTGTGGAGCGCAGTGGATCACTGTCTCCATTGACACGGCACTGAAACCTGGATGTGCTCAAGTGGTACATGGTATGATTGTAGAATTACGCTGTACAGAGTATAAAGGGACTGATTCCCAAAGATTTACACAGAATCACGCAGCTGCAGCGTAATACGTCCAAAACAAATTCATTGCACCAGCAAGTGTGTCCATTCGGTAGAAACATATCAAACACAATTGGCGAAACAGAAAAGAAAAAGGGATCAACTTTGTTGAGAACCACATGAAGAACGAAAGGACACGAGACGGGAGAAAGGGGTGCTGACAGCTGGTGATATCAGTTCCCGCTGATCCTCATAGTCTTGTGTAGTCTCTCTAACAGATCCCGCCTGTGTATCATCTTTGTAGCTGTCGAAATCCAGACTCCAACACAGATCAAGGCCATCTCAATATCACATCGCAAAAGAAGAGTCGTGGCGGTCGGGGCATCGTCCTCGCGAGGGGTAATTTAGCAGCAGCCCGGCTTCTGCTCACTGTCGTTCTTGCTGGGGTTGATCACAGGCTCACGGGTGAGAACCTGCTGGCCACCATCACCGTTGTCAATAGCCTTGCTGGAAACGATGCGGTAGATTTCTGTGCTGGTTAGCATTGCTAGGGTAGTACCGAGCCAGTAGGCACTAACCTGTGAGGATGTTCTGGAAGGCCAACTCAACATTGCTGGCGTCGAGGGCGGATGTCTCAATGAAGGAAAGGTTGTTCTCGCCTACTGGCTGTTAGCGCCACACTCCAAGGTCAAGGTGTATTTCGGGAGAACGGACTGGCAAACTGCTTGGCCTCTTCTGTGGGGACCGCACGAAGGTGGCGCAAATCGCTCTTGTTACCGACAAGCATGATGACGATGTTCGAATCGGCGTGATCCCGCAGCTCCTTCAACCACCGTGTTACATTCTCGTAGGTCTGGTGCTTGCTGATATCGTAAACGAGGAGGGCACCGACGGCGCCGCGGTAGTAAGCAGAGGTGATCGCACGGTAGCGCTCCTGACCAGCAGTATCCCAAATCTGTGCCTTGATTGTTTTCGAGTCGACTTGAATGGACCGGGTCGCAAACTCCACACCGATGGTTGACTTGGAGTCCAGGTTGAATTCATTGCGGGTGAAACGGCTCAAAAGGTTGGACTTTCCGACACCAGAGTCTCCAATAAGCACCACTGTTCATTCCCAAATACCGCCATAGTCAGTCTCGAGGTTCTGGAGGATACAAGGGGGGAAGGGTTGAGGCGAGGGCGGGCATCAGCTCATGGTGGCGACTTTACCTTTGAAGAGGAACTGCGGTGATATGATTGTCAGCATACCGATCCAAGACCGTTGGGTATTCAGTGTTCATAATCCACTCACGTCATATTCGTCGTTAGCCATCTTGAATGTGATCGAGCAAGTTAAGCTCGAGGGGTAAGTGTGGGTAAATGTGGCGGATTTGTGTAGACTGGGGTGCTGAAGAGAGAACAAGGATCAACTAGGTCAGTGTTTGGGGAAAGTAGAAATAGAACAGGTTGTACACACCAAAGAAAATCAGCAGGGGTCAATCAGTGATGCCTCGCGGGTCGAGTGTCTCTCCTTAATCGTGCCGAGCCCGTTGTGGTCTAGTGTTTGGGTCACGTGTGGCCACGGCGGTATCTTTCCTTTTTCGGCAGTATTGTTGACTTCACTTCATGACTTTACTCTCTACCCTTTGCTGTGCCCTCTTTTCCTTTCCCTTTCTTCCCTTACTTCCTGTCCAATCTTACATTTTATCCATATTTGATTGTTTTCTCCTTACTTTTTCCCAATCCACACCCTGACAAGAATGCAATATTTCATGGATGGTTGATTCTCTCTTTCCTCTTTTCTAGTAAAAAGTCGTCTGAGGTTACGGCAAAAAATGGACTGAGTGATTCAGCCTAATTGATGTGATATTGCTCACCCCGACCGTGGAGAATGGTGATAACGACAACTATGAGCTTGGGGATGTACTGGCGTTCTGCCAATACATCGACCAAGTGGAAGTGTCACAATCCAATACTTGGTAAGTTGGGCAGGCAATGCCGTCCACAGAAACAGCTGGGAGCCGGCAACCTCATTTAACATCGAGGAGATTGTGCGCGACTGGGGGCTCAGGAAGCACCATATCCCAGTCGGCACGCGAGTGTCATTCGCTGTTGGGAAGTGTGTGGTATTGTGCAAAGATTTGGCAGAGCACACAGAAAAGCCCAAGACCGGCATGAGGCCTGCAAATCCAAACCGAATTTCAAGCCGAATCCAGGCACTCCAAGATGGTGACTGGAACTCCGTGGATGTCGAGCACAGCAACCAAGCTCTGCTGGATCCCAGGTCATCCAACGACGTATATATCATGGACCAGTCATATCCTCTTGAGCCTACTGGGCAATGGCAACGAAAAGGCTTCGGAACAATAGACTCGGGGAGAGAGAGGCTCTATGAAGCAACTATCATGAATTTTAGCCTCTAGAACCATACCGACCCCCAACACACCTCTCTAGCATAGGCCCATAGGGACTAGCATAAGCAAAGAACCCCACGAGATAGAAAATAGACCCTGAACCTAAAACTCCCTTTTTTTGCCTTCTTGATATGCTTTTGACGTTCGCTGGTCATCCATTGCAGCTCGTAAATTCACCAGGTCCCTAGGGCTCATCCCCACCTTCTGTAGTAGACTGCAGTTCGCGTGATTTCTTCCGACCTCATCGTCACCAAAGGCAGCCCCGGATACGAAGGTGTATAATGCCCCAGGGGTCAATGCCGAATTGGGTGCCTACATATGCCTTCAGATGCCTGGTTTAGGACTGGCAGAACGTCAAGATACCTGATTTATCATTACACATGCCAGAGTAGTCGAACTACACTCATTCTCAAATTCAAACCCAGCGTTCTTGTCGGCAGTCTTGAAGCTCTAGGTCAGTTAGGGCAGACATTGATTGATCGATCAGTCGATATTTGGAAGGGTAGGATGATAAAAGCGGGTTCAAAAGAGGATTACAAAGAGGGCCCAGGAATCTTGAGACGTTAAGGCGTGATTATTGCCAAATGCGAATTGCAATACCAGATACATATGAAGCGGTGTTAGCCGCTCCTGAAATCAGGCATCTTTAGGCAACAAATTAGTCTAGAAGCCCTAAGTGACGACCAGTCTTGGCACAGACATCGACATGGGTTGGAATAAGAACGATATAAAGTGAGACTCACAATGAGATAGAATGAAGAGAAGATAAAATATGAGTGAGATAGAATATGAATGTCAATAGAAGTCAAGAAAGAAGAAAAATAGTGAGCGAGTGTTAGAGAGAGGGAAGGAGTGAAGGAGATGTTTTAGTATCCCCAATCCATAGTAGGTTCCTTCCTATTAGTATATGTTATACTTCAGTAGAATTCCCGAGACGAAATTCATCATCACTCTACCTCGTCCTGATTCTACCTTATGGAAATTCTATCTCGTGAACATTTCACTTTATAGACATTTTACCCCAGGAACATTTCATCCTATCAACAATCTACTCCATCAGCATTCCATCTTATCCTCTTTCTCTTTCTCCATCTTGCCAACACTCTACTTCCATTAACATTCTATCAAGGTATGTTTCTTATTCTATTTCATTGACATTGAATCTCATCAACACTTTTCACCAACACTCCTTCTCGTCAACACTGCATCTCACAAAGACTCCGTCTCATCACGACTCTGTCTCATCAGCATTCTATTCATCGCTTTTCCTCTTTACCAAGACTTCGTCTTATTATAACTCTATCTCATCAGCACTTCACCTCATCACGACTCTGTCCCATCAGCACTCTGTCCCATCAGCACTCTGTCCTATCAGCACTCTGTCCTATCAGCACTCTGTCCCACTGTCATCCCGTCTAGGTATGTTTCCTATTCTATCTCACCAACACTCCTCCTCACCAACATTGCGTCTTACCAAGACTCCGTCTCATCACGACTCTGTCTCATCAGCACTTTGTCTCATAAGTACTCTACTTCACTACTATTCCTCTTCACCAAGACTTTGTCTCATCAGCACTTAGTCTCATCAACATTCTGTCCCATCAGGACTCTCCTTCACCACCACTCCTCCTTACCAAGACTTCGTCTCGTCGCGACTTTGTCTCATCAGCACTTCGTCTTATCAAGAGTTATTCTCATCTTATTTCTCTTTCTCCTCCTCCTTCTACTTCCCAATCATACTAACACCAATCCCGGCACGTGGGACACAGGCAAAATGTCTTCAGGACCACCACCACCTCCTCCTCCCAGGCGGCCAGTACAGCCGCAACCAGCAAGCAAATTCGGGGCTCGGCCTGAGAAACCCAAACCCCACGCATCCCAAGGGTTAACTACACCCTTTGAGTCGGCCATCGACCCCAAGGAGCCCTATGTCTACTCGCCGCGGGCGGGAGTATATGGCAAGGCTGGTGGGAAAGAGCCCCCAGCACGCTATCGACCTGCGGGCCATATCTCTTCGTCTGCGCAAGAGCCAGACGAGGCCGATGACGACGATCTGAGGAGCCTGTTCTCTGGTCCCCTGAGTCCTTCATGGGACATTCCAATTCGGAATATCATGGGACAAATGGAGCAGACTTCTGGGCGACCTCGGTCATCTTCTCCCCGTCGTGCACCCGGGCTTGAACGATATCGTTCGCCCACCCCAAGGGTGCCCTCGGGTTCTCAACGCCCAGCGAGATCAGCTGGACAGACCTCCACGGAGGCTCAGAATGCCGCCCGCATCGCTCGGATGCCACACCGAGTCCCTGCGGCTAAGACACCAGGCGTTATTTTCACCAGGGGATACGCTTGGTTTGACAATTCAAAGCACGAGATTCTCGCGCATGTTTATGTCGGACCCGACAAAACATCAATTGGATTCCTGAGACTCTCTGGTCTATCCTCGGACACCAAGAGAGACCTGATGCAGAGTGGAAAGCAATCGGGGTCCAACGAGTTTCAAGTGTGGTTCAAGGACTTGTGCACGCCTGAGCAGTTTGAACAGCTGCGTGATTACAGCGCCCACAAAACGAAAATCGTGGGATGGTTTGAGGGATTCGCAGAGAATAATGAGAAATTGTTCTCTATGGCCGAACGTCTGCGGAATGGCAACAAGATTGCCATCCACTATTTTGCCAGCCAAAGCAAAGGACCGCAGTATTCAATGGTTGCGTGGTCTCGGGAGTCTTCAGCCTTTCGATTCCCAGATTGGTTTCCGAAGCATCCGCCACGCGACGCGGAGATTCCTTTGCTTTTTGCAGTGCAAACTGACGTTCGGCCGATCCGTGCATTGGGTCCTTCAATTAGTTCCGGATCCCATCAACCATCTCTCCCACCGCTGGTCCGACCCCCACCAGCTACAACTAACCTCGAGAAATTTATGGCCGAACGCAAGATAATTGTCGGAGAACTGGCCACCATTAAGAATGGCGCGAAACGTCTGAAGGCGGATTGCTTTTATTTGCACTTCCCCTCTGAAGACGACGACGCCCGAAAAGACTTTGATCTCCTGAAGAAATATTTAGTTCTTCATGAGATGATAGTCTTTACCGGTTCTGACAACGACGGTTGGTCGAAATTTTTCGGAGAAAACAAGAAGGGTGTGGTGATAGTATGTTTCTCCGACTTCCCAAAAGACACAGCAGCTAACTAGGTTGACGCAGTTCCACGAGTCGTTCGCCAGGTACGCTGCCCTGCAGCCTCATCTCATTCAAGCGCTCCAATACCCATCACTCAATTTCTGGGTGGTTCGCGTTGAAGAGCGGCTTTGGGGTATGCCAAGTCAATTCTTTTCACCCGGTGATCATTGCACTCGTATCTTCCCTGGGGATGGCGTGATACTTCTAACCGAAGATATGTTAGGAGACCTGAAAAGGACAGCCATTCTTCTCCAGTGGATTCGGGAGCAACAAGGACCCAAAGCCTCCCCTGATGTACGGCATATCATGCTCCATCCAGGGGTGATGGAGTGGATAAGAAAGAGGCTTGGTGATGAGCGGCTTGCGAAAGACCATGCGGTGTAAGTCCTGTCCTGAGTACGCATGAATTACTGAAAATACTGACCACGACTTAAATATAGGCTCAAGCTTGTCCGAGGCCTGATATGGAAGCTGAACCCCTCCAAGCCCCCCGATGACATGTTCAAGGAGTCCAGCCTTGATCCAGACTCAACGAACGCCGTTATGTCCCCACACCATGTCCGTGGCTATGACAGTCCCAATAACGTTGAACCAAAATCCAAAGAGATGGTTCTACAAGACGCCAATAGTCTTATTCGTTTTTTTGCAGACTGGGGACAGCATAACATGCAAAGGTTCAAGCACTTCGTTGTGGTCACTTCCATCACCGACAACGATGTGTATGAGCGTTGGAAGGCCTATGGACATATTACTGTCATTCGGGGTGGTCACAAATCTCTTTTTGGGCGCTTCAAGATCAGAAATTCAGACCTCGAGAGGTTGTGGAACCGGGTCTGTAATGGTTCTTGACCATTACGCACACCACATATCCTTTTCTTTTGTCATTTCTTTTGTCATTTCTTTTGTCATTTCTTTTGTCATTTCTTTTGTCATTTCTTTTGTCATTTCTTTTGTCATTTCCTTTTCTATTTCCTTTGTCCTTCAATGATACCATGGCCGAATATTTTTGCACGAGAACTAGTAATCCCAGATACAACATAGTTATGAGCTATATTTTAAAGTAATTTTATTCACTATATAAATTGAATTCACTTTTAACTGAAGCCTGGAATAATAAACTTGTCTACAAATATAAAAAAAAGGGGGGGGAGGGGAAGAAAATAAAAAAAGAAGTGTGGGAAGGCTGGATCACCCCCCCTCTGTTACTTAAGTAACCCAGGTAAATCCTGTAGTCCAGAGGGGAGCTTAGAAGTACGCGGTATTTAAATCCTGAACGCCATACCCACTGAGCTACCGGGGTAGCTCACAGAAAATCAGTAACTTTTGTATCTGATATAGACCTCTATCATTCCTAATCAGGAAGGTGGATCCACATCATTATCACATGACACAGAGCCTCATCATATATATATATATTCCATAGTCCAGATATCATATCCAGGTTGCTGTTAAAAACACAACATTGGCAAGAAATCTTGAAGAATCGTATTATATACCCAAAGTTACAATGAAATGAAAAAGAGGAGGAAAGGGGGAGGGAAAAAAAAAAAAAAAAGGGAGGGGGGGGGGATAGAAAACAACCCCACCAACTCACTCAGCGGGGGGGTGACAGAAGACAAAAAAAAAGTATTTGTTTTTTTT